TGCGAGTGCAACGGAGTAAGTCGCCGGTGCGGCGCCAAACTCCAAGCAGCCAGCCCGGCGAGCTAAGAGACACGAGCCCGGGAAACTGGGCTGCCGGCGGTGAAAAACAAGAGGCAGAGCGAGCGCGGAAGGCTGAGCCACTCAGCGCGCAGCCGTCAGACTCCACCGCTCAGTTGAAGGGGGCCAGCGGCCCCATCGCATCGAGTCCGGCGCCTGCGTCGAATGGGCCCGGGGTGAATGCGACGATGCGCGAAACGCAGGCTGTACAAGGCTGCAACAGTCAGAGCAAGGCCTTCGGGCACACAATTCCCACTGCCAGTGGACGCCAGCGACTGCCCGAACACCACAGTGCCGTCCTGCCGCGGAGAGGCCCACCGATGCCAGCCGCGGACAACGCTGTGGGTCGGCCAGTGGGGGGGGGGGGGACCTCAGCGCTGCCTGTCCGACGGGCCTTCCGACATGGCCTCCACGGCCGCCGCGGGCGAACCCCTGAGGCACAGTGGGGGACACCCACCGGGCCGAAGCGGCGGGAGGCGAGCCGTCCCACACCGCGGCCAGCCCGCAGCAGCGCCGGGGGACGTTTCCAGTCATCCGGTGTGTCCAGGGGTGCGTGCAACCCGCGGAGAGCACCTTCACAGTGGAAAAGGGGGCGCAGCTAACCGCCGCAAGACACACCGCCGCAAGACACAAGTAACTTGATAGCTGCTGCACGCCGAGAACATCTGCGCATGAGGGGGGTGCAGCTAACCGGCGCGAAGCACCATTACATCGAGAAGGGGTGGCAGAACCTCGCCGATGCGGTCCCAGCTGGAGTGTGCCAGCGTCGGACGCGCCTCATGGGGGGGTTCATGTGCCGCAGCCGTACGCACCGTAGCTGAAGCTGCAAACTAGGCCTAGGCACCGGCCGAGCGGCGTGCAGGGGGGGACTATTTCAGACGACTGCCCCCTGCCACCGAGAGGCTCGTGGAGATACGCGAAGCGTAAAAAAAAGCATGTTGTGCGCCCCACTAATGCCACAACGCCGGGGCAGTAATATCTGACCAGCCGCCGACGCAAAAAGTGTATGCGTGTGTGCGTGCGTGCGTGCGTGCGTGCGTGCGTGTGTGTCTGTCTGTCTGTCTGTCTGTCTGTCTGTCTGTCTGTCTGTCTGTCTGTCTGTCTGTCTGTCTGTCTGTCTGTCTGTGTGTGTGTGTGTGCGTGCGTGCGTGCGTGCGTGCGTGCGTGCGTGCGCGCGCGCGTGCGTGCGTGCGTGCGTGCGTGCGTGCGTCTTTGTGTGTGGGTGTGTACATCCAATATATCCACGCCGCATGATCAACTTGATCTGGGCCAGCCCGCACGCGTCTCACTTCCGCTGGACCTTCACTGCGCCGCGCCGCGACGCTAAAGCAAGTATGTGTGTGTGTGCGCGTGTGTGTGCGTGTGTTTGCGCGCGAGTTCGTACGCGTAGGACGTCAACTGTGAGAGAGGGCAGCGCAGAAGGAACACGAGAGCGGACCCCGCGCAAGAGAACGATGCGACAGAGCAGGAGCTGGAGCAGGATGAATCGGAGGAAGTATGAACAAAAAACCACATGTTCCTTTTAGGTGGTGCAAGGAATCAACTCGGCACGTGTACATTCAGATACAAATGGCGTGGTGTCCACCACACGTTGCGTCTGCAACCTCCCGCAAAATGGCGGTAGGCGGCAAGACCCCTGCACCTCTTTCTCCCCCTCCACGGACGCGAATGTTGGGTTGACGCCGCCCAGGAATGAGACTGATAGGCAGGCCTTGCGCAAGGCGGCACTCCGGCGGACCTCCCGGAAGCGGCTCCAACTGCTGGAGCAGCACAATTGCCGGCACATGTTGAAGTCTAACAAGTGCCAGCAATTGTGCTGCGCAATTGGCAGCGGAACTGCGTAAGACCGCCCTCCGATGGACATCCCATAAGCTCACGAGCGTGCCGGCAATTGTTCAGTTGGCAACGCCCAAAGAGGTGGATAGTTTGGAGCTGGGTACGGCAGGTTCGTGTCGTGTCGGCTTCGGCATTGGTTCCTGACACCGCGGGGAACATTTAACCTTGAACGATCGGCCGTTTCTGAAACATCTGATCGTTCAACATCGGCCGATTCTGGGTCGCTGGCGGCGTTTAACGTTGAACGCCGGCAGCGGGGTCGCCGCCGGTCGACACGACGCGAACCTACCGTACGGATCCAACTTTGCCCATGATTTGAGATCCGTAGCAAAAACCATTCCCAGTTCAATACCCAGGCTTCAAGATCGATGCCCGATCGAGAGGGAGGATGACGGAGAAGAAAGAGCAAAAGATCGGGAGACGATGATCGACCATTGGTCGACACGATTCGAAACTCCCGTAGGACAGCACTCCGCAGAATCCCCCAGGGGCTTGCGAATGAGCCGAACGGTGATGATGATGATGATGATGATGATGATGATGATGATGATGATGATGATGATGATGATGAGGATGAGGAGGAGGAGGAGGAGGAGGAGGAGGAGGAGGAGGAGGAGGAGATGAGGAGGAGGAGGAGGAGGAGGAGGGAGGAGGCGCAGCCGTCAATTCCAGGGAGGGGCCTACAACAGCTTGGACCCGTCCGGGACCGCACTCCGCTGCACCTCCCAGGAGCTTCTCAAAAGTGCAGATCAGCTGAGTATCCTCCTCCTCCTCCTCCCTCCCTCCGTTCCTCCTCCTTCCTCCTCCTCCTCCCCCCCTCCTCCTCCTCCCTCCCTCCTCTCTCCTCCTCCTCCTCCTCCTCCTCCTCCTCCTCCTCCTCCTGGGGGGCCAGGTCTGGAGGGTCGGGGCGCAGGGCGCCCGGGAAGCCTGCCACTTCCTTTCTCAATCTGCAACGTCTGTTTGGGGCCAGCTTGCCGTCATGGGCGACGCGCCGACACCTCCAAAGTTGCACCGACGACCAGAACATACTACTGCCAGGTTCCTGCGCGCAGCTCCACAGGAAGGGAGGGGACCTGGCCCAGGAATGTACTCAACAGGTAATCGGTCAATGGGCAGCGCCCGCGGAGGGTTCTCACTCCCGGACCGCGCAAGACCGCACTCTGGTGGACCTCCCCGAAACTCAGGCTGATGCCAGCGCTGCGCACCTAGCAACGCCCGAGCAAAGGACTGGTGGTCTGGGTTTCCGTAAGACTGCACTCTGATGGAACCCCAAGAAGCTGAAACGAGCGCGGCAGTTGCGCAGTTATCAACTTCCAGCGAGATGACTATATCTACATATATACACATCTATATTTATACACAAACATATAGATAGATGCATATACATGTATCAATATGGGTATGCGGTATGCGTGAGACCGCACTCCGCTAACCTCCCAAACGCTCGCGGAAGAGCCGAATACCGTTCAGCTGGCAGCCACCAGGAAGGACGTAAAATGGTTTGGGTCTGCGAAGGACCGCTCTCCGCAGAACCCACCCCCACAAGAATTCACGAAAGTGGCGACAGCTTGTCAGTTGACAGCACCCAGGGAGGGGATAACTCTTTCCCTGAGACCCGAAGTATGCAAATTTCTGACTCTGGGGGCCTCGCTGGGCCCCGGGACCGACAAACTAATCTCAGGATGCAACACCCGTCCTGCGGAAAGGGTCTGGACATCGGGGGTCACCATATTTGACAAATCAAGGCGTTGAATCTCTGGGTTTCTGTCTGCATAAGACTACACTCAACTGGACCTCCCAGGAGCCCACGAACGTGTCGACAGTTGTTCTGTTGGCAACGCCCAGGGAGGAGATGAGTATGGGGTTGCGTAAGACCGCGGCGCTACGCTGGACCTCCCAGAAACCGACAGACAATGCAGACGCTTGCGAAGATAGCAACGCCCAGGTGTCTGTTCGAAACGTGTACCCACACTGAGGAGATGCAAGAAAACGACGTCAGCAGATGCGCCGAGCGAGTCCATGAGCAAGCCTACACCCCACGTGTTCATCAAGTGGACACGGCGCTGTCCGTAGAACGCCGCACTCTTACAATTGAGACTTTCCGACCAATGCTTGCGCCGAGGCTCTCTTACTCGTGTTGCTCAGTAGTCCACCTTGCCCTCTGGGCGTAGGTGGTCTAGCAAGCCACGCATTCCAGCCTGTCTATTCCACTCTGGGGAGCAGCTATCGAGAAGGGGATCGACGGATTTACCCCAGAATTTCCTTCTTCGCCGAATCCACGACTTCGCCCAATCCACGAGCAGAAAGGATACGTCTTTTTGTAGATTCGACGAGGAGATCAATTTCGGGGCAAGTCAATTCTGCAGTCGACCCCCTGTCGGGGATCTTCTGACCTGGGTCAATTCAGACCGGGGTCAATCAAACCTTGCAGAATCCTGCAGGATCCTGCACCCAAACCCGGGTCAATGCGAAGGATCCTGCAAGATCCTGCAGGATCCTGCGCCCAAGCCCCGGTCAGTGCGACCCTGGCCCTGCAGGATCCTGCAAGATCGGGCGCTCTGAAGGAGGAGGGAGGAGGGAGGAAGGAGGAGGAGGAGGAGGAGGAGGAGGAGGAGGAGAAGGAGGAGGAGGAGGAGGAGGGAGGAGGGAGGAGGGAGGAGGAAGGAGGGAGGAGGAGGAGGAGAAGGAGGAGGAGAGGAGGAGGAGGAGGGAGGAGGAGGAGGAGGAGGGAGGAGGGAGGAGGAGGAGGGAGAGGGAGGAGGAGGAGGGAGGAGGGAGGAGGGAGGAGGGAGGAGGGAGGAGAGGAGAGGAGGAGGGAGGAGGGAGGAGGGAGGAGGAGGAGGAGGGAGGAGGAGGAGGAGGAGGGAGGAGGAGAGGAGGAGGAGGAGGAGGAGGAGGAGGAGGAGGGAGGAGGAGGAGGAGGAGGAGGGGAGGAGGGGAGGGAGGAGGAGAGGAGGAGGAGGAGGAGGAGGGGGAGGAGGAGGAGGAGGGAGGAGGAGGAGGAGGAGGAGGAGGAGGAGGAGGAGGAGGAGGAGGAGGAGGAGGAGGAAGGGATTGCCTGACCCCGCTTGCATCCACCCCCGTCCCTGGAGACCCGGCCCCGCTCGAAGCGCTCCCAGGGCCTGCAGCCCTCCCCCGCTGGGCCGCTGGAGAGCCCGGGATGGCCCGGGCCGGCTCCACGGCGACCCCCCGTCCGCCGAGGGTGCCCTCCAGGACGGCAGAGGATGCCCTGAGGTCGGGCGCGTCCCCCTACAGGCGGATTCTGGCAGAAAAATAAGCAAAAGACAAAACATACAAGATTCAACGATGCTGAAAAATGCCAAAGCAATCGTCGCCAGACTATTGTTTGACTATTTTTGACTATTCCTCCTGTAGAGAGGGACGCGCCCGACCTGAAGGTAGCCCCACGATGGCTCCAGATACAGCAGGAGCTCGACCACGAGAAACCTTCCACCAGAAACCCAAGTCTGAAGCCCAGGAAGTCCATGGGCTTGTTTTTTTTTGGTGTGTGTGTGTGTGTCTGTGTCTGTGTCTGTGTGTCTGTGTGTCTGTGTGTCTGTGTGTCTGTGTGTGTCTGTGTGTGTCTGTGTGTGTGTGTGTGTCTGTGTGTGTGTGTCTGTGTGTGTGTGTGTCTGTCTGTCTGTCTGTCTGTCTGTCTGTCTGTCTGTCTGTCTGTCTGTCTGTCTGTCTGTCTGTCTGTCTGTCTGTCTGTCTCGTATGCGTGCGTGCGTGCGTGCGTGCGTGCGTGCGTGCGTGCGTGCGTGCGTGCGTGCGTGCGTGCGTGCGTGCGTGCGTGCGTGCGTGCGTGCGTGCGTGCGTGCGTGCGTGCGTGCGTGCGTGCGTGCGTGCGTGCGTGCGTGCGTGCGTGCGTGCGTGCGTGCGTGCGTGCGTGCGTGCGTGCGTGCGTGCGTGCGTGCGTGTGTGTGTGTGTGTGTGTGTGTAAGTGTAAGTGTGTAAGTGTGTGGGGCGTCACGCTTTCCATCGCAAAACCATCGAAACCCAGGAAACCCAGGGCACCCTGGAGGCAAGCAGGGCGTTTCTTGGCATGGGTTTCCACTGTAGCCTCTCACCTTACCTCCTAGCAGGGCTGAACCTAAACGGTGTTGTTTGTTTTCGTTGTGTGTTCGTTTTCCCTCGTTTTGTCTTCAATCAGCCTTTACCGCAAAACGACATCGAAACGAAAACGGCCCACGAAATCGCCAAAACACCGTTTAGGTCCAGCCCTGCCTCCCAAAGGCTCCAAGACGGCTCCAAGACGGCTCCAAGTGGCCACGGGGCCTTCCAAGGACCCCTCCCCGAGAGGCATTCAATGCTGGTTGGGCTCTCGCCGTTTCGCTTCCGATCGGCCTTGGAGGCCTCACAATTGTTGCTCCAAGGTATCAGAAAAAAGGCCCCCTGGAGGGCCAACGAGCGCACCAGGAGGGACCCAAGAGGGCTCCAAGAGGCGACTCTCAGGCGTCCGATGGGAAGGCTGGCGTAGGCGCCGCCCTCTTTTTGATCGATGGCCCCCGACATGGTCTCAAGGCCCCGAGAGAGCACAACAGGTCTCAAATGGGCAAACGTGAGCTGCCAAGAGGCTCCCACCTCGACAGCTCCGAAAAGGCACGTGTGATTACTCCTGCGCCTGCTCAGGCTGATCCCGATCTTCGGTGTGACGGCTGTCCCACCCATTTGCTCCACTGCTTGCTCCTGCACTTCCCTGCTATAGGGAAACCGGGAGGTACCCATACCGCTACTCCCCGCACCCCGGGTGATGATCAAGACAACCCGCCTGAGCATCGATCCTGGATGGGCCCAGGTCGAGACTTCTCTGGCGCTGCTGGGTGTTCGCCCGTGAGGGGCGCCCGTGGCCGCATCCGTCGCCGCCTTTCGTGCGGTGCGCAGGCCAGCCTTTTTCCCGTGTGTTGGCCGCACGTTGCCGCCCCATGCGCCATGCGCTGGCTGAGGTAACAGGAGGTATGTCGACCCCTATCCCAGGCTCTGGGAGGTGTTTTCGACTGGGCCAAGAATTTGGGACCCAACCCTGGAAAATACAAAGGGGGGGGGTGCATCCTCGATAGGGGTGCGTCGAAATGCCCCCCTGGGGGTGTATTCCAAAGTTTCCCTCCTTCTCTGAGCGGCTTCATTTTCTTGGAGAAGTCGGGGGTTTGGGGAGAACAGTCGCCTGCTGCGAGACGAGGGCGAAAGAGGTACAAGTTCACAAAAAGAACAATGACATTCAAAAGACACTTACATCATAAAGCAGGTGAAACTGTCGCCGCACTCGGCGAGACCTCGAGTGCGCAGAGCGAGCAACTTTGCCTCGCCCTGCGAGAGCCCGGAATCGATCCCGCAATAATCGGATCGGCGGAAACCGGCAGGCCACTGAGGCCTCCACTGAGCAACCGAAATCCAGATCGGACTCCGAAGGCGAATCCACGTGGAATTAGCATCGAATCCGAGTCGAGGAGGAGGCATACTGAGCCAGATATGCGTAGCCGCAGCTCGCCATCGCTCGGACGCCCACTCCACGTGCATGTTGGTTCCGTGCGCGTTGTTTCTCCCAGGGTGATCCAGGATGCTCCTCCATGGCCCTCGCCGAGAAAAGAATGCACACTCGCGAGCGATGCCAGGAGCTCGACCACAAGAAACCTTCCACAAGAAACCCAACCCTGAGACCCCAGGACGACCATTGATAATCTTTAGTGTGGGAACGCCACGCTATCGAAGCCCAGGAAACCCAGGGCACCCTGGAGGCAAGCAGGGCGTTTCTTGGCATGGACTTCCACTGGCCATCGCTCGGACGTCCATTCCCTGTGTTTTTGTGTCGTGCGTGGTTTTTCTGCCACATGATCAAGGGTGCTCTTAGATCGTCCTCGCCAAAGGAACAATGCACACGTCGGAGCAATGCCAAGTCCACCGCAGACTGAGCCTTGGGCGTCCCCTGACCAAGGGAGACCGCCGCAGAGCGCCCTCCGCGGCCCCTCCCCCCCGTGGGAGGTCCGGAGGCCCGCCGAGCCCCCCTGCCCGTCGCAGGGCGGCGGCCGCCGAGCCCTCCTCGGGGAAGCGCACGGGCCGCGGCAGGTGCGCGCGGTGCCGCCTCCGGCGCTGGCTCGAGCCCGTGCAGGGCCACTGCGCCCTCGGCAGCGGATCTGCGTGAGGCCGCGCCGAGCGCACGAGCGTGCCGGGCCGGCAGTTGTTCGGTGGACAGCGCCCAGGGAGGAGAGAAGTTGGCGCTGCGTACGGCAGGTTCGTGCCGTGCCGAAACCTCGGCGTCGGCTCCTGACACCGCGGGAGTGGAACGATCGGCCGATCGGCCGTTTCCGAAACGGCAGACCGTTCAATCTCGACAGATGCTGGATTTCCGGCGGCGTTCGACGTCGAACGCCGACGGCGGGGTCGCCGCCGGTCGACACGACGCGAACGTGCCGTAGGCAGGGGCTGCGTTCCCCACAATCGGGACGCTGGTGGCCGCTTTGGGCCCAGAAAGGGCTTGCTGTTCTTCAGGTCCTTCCGTGGCTGTTCCGCTGGCCCTCCTCGTACACCCAGGCGCTTCTGGCGCCAGGAAGGTGATTCGTTCTGTTTGCCGCGTTCCTGGTGTCAGCCCTTCTGAATTTGGAGCTCCTTCTGCAAAGGCTTTGGCTGTGAAGGAGAATAATTGACAGGAGGAGGGGCGAAGGGGAAGAGGAGGCAAGGAGACGGACGGGACCGTCTGCGGGGCGGCTGCATGGTCCCCCGTACGGTCCACTTGTACGGCCAGCCCCATGTAGCCCATCATGCGCATGGCCCACTGCATCTGTATGACTCCCCAGCGTGGAACTCCCGACACCCGAGATATGTCCTTCCGCTCCATGCTGGTGCGGGTCTGTGAAAGGAGGTTGGCACGTCAAGGCGCCCATCATCATGATCCCAAACGATCGAGCCGATGTGTCGCGACTCATTGAGAGCTCATGGACGAGGCTAACGGCGTTATAGGTTAACAGCGTGATTGTGAATGTGGTTTCTGTGACACCGAGCGCGCGTAGAAACGAGTGTTGAAAGTCACGAACCACGCGTTCACACAGTTCAAATATCAAACTGTACCGAACGAACACGACCCCGCGAAGTGTAAGAGCGCACAAACCACGCGTTCTTGAAATGGTTTGGCCACAGACCAGCCCCACGGTACATCATTTACAATGCCGAGACCAATCACGCCGTTACGTAGAACACGGCTAGCCGGTCTGCAGACGAAGCCACCCTCGCGAGGAGGGAGGAGGAGGAGGAAGAGGAGGAGGAGGAGGGAGGAGGAGGAGCAGGAGGAGGAGGAGGAGGAGCAGGAGGAGGAGGAGGAGGAGGAGGAGGAGGAGGAGGAGGAGGAGGAGGAGGGAGGAGGAGGAGGAGGAGTAGCAGAGTCTCTGCGAGGCAGCGCTCCCTCGCCAGATCGTCGCTATGTACAGTGGAGCAGCGGCGGCGAGCTTCTGCTGCCGCCGCGGTGCGAAGGGCCTCGCCACCACCACACTGCTCCTTTGAGGGGGTGGTCACACGGGATGCATGCATTCCTGGAGGAAAGACGAATCACAAACAAAAAAACAGGTCCAGAGGTCCACGTGGATGTCTCGGATCTGCGCTGGGCAACCCTCCCTGGCGCGCGGAGCGCGGGAAGCACCGCCATGGGGTCCCAACGTACCTTCAGACAACCGCGCGAATCTCCGAGCGTATTTGTCGAAGCCACTTCTTGTCCCTCGACATCATCTGAGGAAACGAAGAGATACCGATGCCCCTACTCCCAGGACCTCTCCCAGGGTGCGTTCTGCCCAGTGTTTCGAAGCGAATCCGGCGGTGGCGACGCGGGCCTCCCAGGAGGCCCGAAGGAAGGTGACAACGAGGGAAGGGCAGAGGTGTGGGTACCTCCTCCTCCTCTGTTCCACATTCCCCGTGCAGTGCCTGCGCTGGGCTCTCGAGTTTGTTTTTGATCGGTGGGCCGGTACCTGCGGATGCTCGCTCGGTGGGCGACCGTGGCTGCCTCGTGCCAGGCTTCGGGCGCGGGCTGGCATCTCCAGATTGTCGCTCGGTGGCACGCCATGGGCTGCGTCTTGTAGATTTCACGTTGCGGCGTGCACGCGTGCACCACGTAGCCAAATCCCACTCCCCAGCTGAGTAGCACTCGACTCCCTCACCCCTTTTTGACCTATCCGCACAATGTGTTGTTATCCGCGCTGCGATCTCAAAACGTGTTATGGATGGTCGTCTGTTTTGACCCTGGATGTCGAATAACACTGTGGCCTGACGGCCATATGTTCCCCCTCCCCGCCACCGCCCGCAACTAACAGATTGCGGTGTACGTGCGTCGATATAAGGCTTGCTGTATTTTTTATAAACAAAAAACCTTCTCGCGAAGATCGATGCGGTGAACATGCGCGCGCCGCCTCGCGCGCGTGGCACATTTTGCCTACCCTCGGGGTTGCCTCGGCGCGCTCGACTCAAAAAAAGACATGCTTACAATGGGAGAGCTCGCACATTTCTGCAGTATGCCAGAGTCGGCTGGTCAGCGGATGCTCGAACATGACAGGAATGCCTCGCCGTAGAAAATAATCTGAACAGGGACAGAGCGACTTGAGCAAGACGATTGCCGAGATGCACAGCTGCCGCATCGGCAGCAGTCAGAAAAGAATGAGTAGAAAGTGCCTGGGATGCAGCGGCCAGCGCTGTACATGAGCTGCTACCTTGGGCTGCAGCTCGCTGGATTCTGCTGCGTGAAAGGCGCTGCTACCCTGGGCTGCAGCGCAATGCAATTAAATACCCCGGCATTGCCTATCCCTCGGCGCGTGGCGTGGCCGACCCTCCCCAAACTCCTGCCGCGGTTGGACAGCCATGGTAGTCCATTCCAATATATATATATATATATATACTAGAACCACGCGCGCGTTTCGCGCGCGCTTAGGTTCTAATCACTCCCGCGACCACACTCAACACCGCCAGTGCCGCCACGGCTACCACCGCCCTTTCCGCCATCACCGCGGTCACGACCACTTCTGATTACATGTCCATTATGGGCATGACCCCATATATATATGTATATATATATATATATATGTCTCTCTCTCTCCTTCTCTCTCATTGTCTCTCTCTCTCTCTCGTACTCCCACTCCCTCCCTCTTGTTTGATACTTCTCGACACACGCACGTGCACGCGCAATGCATATTGTGCTTACCTTCACACAACCTTGCGCACGCGAGAAAAGGCGGGAATCGCCGCCGTTATCACCACCATCAGAAGCATCACTTTTTTTACCGCCAACGCGTGGATATCATTGTCATCGTCGTCGTCACTCGCTTCGACGCCGTCCGTGCCCTTGCCGTCGCCATCGCCATTGCAATGGTCATCATCGTTGCCACCGCTGTCTACAGTCATCATGATACCGCGCCCGCCCGGGTCACCGACCCGCATTGACGTGCCCGTGCGCGAACGCACTCCTCGAGACGCGCCACGAGGCTCCCATTGGTAAGCGCCATCGCGGCCGCAGCAGTTGTACCGAACAAGCTGATTGCCCTGCGCACGAAATTCGCGCCCTAATGCGAGAGGAACTGCCGATCGGCAACCGAAGCCATGGCCAACTGAGTGTTGCCAAATAGATCGCGGGTGGGAGGGTGAGACGATCGCGAAAACAAAGGTGTTGACAACTCAGATACAGACAAACGTGTTTGCAACGCGTAGATTCCCTACCTAGGCTCTGCCTAGAAGTGTTCTTACTTTAGAACTTCAAGGGGCCGGGCAGTGTTACCCGCCCCGGGCGGTTCCCCCGGCATCCACCCCGCGGTTCCCCCAGTTGCGCCCTCTGGGCTCACCCAGCGTAGCTTAGCTAAGCTAAACTTAGCTCACCTAAGCATAGCCTAGCATAGCCTAGCTTAGCTTAGCTGAGCTTATCTCATCTCAAACTAGCCTAGCTTAGCTTAGCTTGACTTGGCTTAGCCCAGCCTACCCTAGCTTAGCTTAGTTTAACCTAGCTTAGGTTTGTTTAGCGCAGCATCGCGCAGCGCAACATTAGCACATCATATCATAGCATATCAAAGCAAAGCATAGCATGGCAAAGCATAGAATACCATAGCGCAGCATAGCATAGCATGTCATAGCATTGTTTAGCATAGCACAGCACAGCGCAGCATAGCATAGTGCAACATATCATAGCCGAACATAGCATAGCATGGCATAGCGCAGCATAGCATCTCATACCATAGCCTAGCAAATCATACGCAGCATACCATAGCATAGCGCAGCATAGCATAGCGCAGCACAGCAGCCACTGCTGCTGCTGCTGCGAATGATGCTTTCCTGGAGGCTCGAACTCCTAGGTAGGGTCGCACTGGGATAATTACGCTCAACATCTTGCAACGCATATATCCGCAACCGTCTCGCTGGTCTGGGTCCTTTGCCCAACTCTCTGAGCCTCGGTCCTCGATCCTGCGCCAAAGGTCCCGGCCCCAGTTGCCAGAATGTTCCGCGCAAAATTAGTGGAGCCACGCTCCGCGAATCGGCCCGAAAAATGCGCAACGACATGGCATGGCCTTCTTCGCTCCCATTAGCGGAGCGTCGCTGCGCGACCTCGAACCAGGTGCTTCGCTCCAATTAGCGAGGTGCCGTTTCGCAACTGGTGCCGAACCAAGGGGTTGCAATCGTTTCGCTCCTGTTGGCGGAGCGCCGCTCCGCTAATGGCTTATGAGTCGCAGACCAAAAAAAAAAACCTCGCTTCGCTCCCATCAGCAGCGCGCCGCTCAGCTAAATTCCCTCAGTCCGTCGACCGCTTCGCCCCCATCAACGGAGCCCCCTCCGCTAATCTCTCCCAGGCCCGGGGATTACGAACGCTTCGCTGCCATTAGCGGGGCGCCGCCCCGCGACAAACCAAAGGGGTGCAATCGCCTCGCTCCCGTCAGCGGCGCGCCGCTTCGCGAATCTGATTCAAACCAGAAGATGACGATTGCTTCGCGGAACGCCGCTCTGCTACTTGGCATCGGGCCAGGGGGGTGCGATTGCTTCGCTCCCATTAGCGGAGCGCCGCTCCGCTAATTTGCCTCAGACTACAGGGCCGCGGTCGCTCGGCTCCGATTCGCGAAGCGCCGCTGCGCGAATCTGTCTTGAACCACGGGGCCCCCATTGCTTCGCCCCCGTTAGCGGAACGCCGCTGCGCTAATTGGCCTCGGGCCAACATATTGCGATTGCATCGCTTTCATTAGCGATGCGCTGCGCAGCTCTTTTGCTTCCAACGGAATAAACATTGCTTCGCCCCCGTTAGCGGAGCGCCGCTTCGCTAATTGGCCTAAAACCGCGAAGATGGCAGATTGCTAAGTTCCCGCCAGCGAAGCGCCAATCCGCTTATGGCTCGTGCGTCTCATATCCAAAAGTTACGATCGCCTCGCCCCCATCAACAACGCGCCGCTCAGCTAAATTCCCCCCGCCCAAATGACGTCGGCCGCTTCGCCACCATCAACGGAGCCCCGCTCCGCTAATGTGTCCCAGGCCCGGGGACTACGAATGCTTCGCTGCCATTAGCGGGGCGCCGCTCCGCGACGAACCAAAGGGCTGCGATCGCCTCGCCCCCGTTGGAGGCACGCCGCTCCGCGTATTCGTTTCAAACCAGAGGGTGAAGGACTTGTCGCATACAGCGGCACCATGTCCCACTCCAGACACGCAAAGCCTCCTCGCCAGGTTCAACTTCTTGGCATCGTGTCCGTGAGAGCGGGGCACGCGTTCAAACGTCTGTGCCGTTTTCAGACCGACGATGTTGACGTTGCTGCCGATATCCAGAGGGATCACCAGCATCCCATCCAGCATGGCCCCACTGTTTGCAGCCAGGGCCAATTCATGTCGTCCCCCGAAAATTCCTGGCACTTCAGGCAGCGTTGTACCGTGCATGCCCTTGCGGCATCTCTGCTCCACCGCCCGATCGTTCCTCGTCAGAGACGTGAAAACGTGCATCTATCCGCGGGCCTCCTCCGCAATGGGGTTCTTCTCAAAAATCCAAGCCGCGGGATGCTCGTCGGGCGTGTGCGGGCGCGGTGCAGATGCGAGCGGCATGTTCATCAACGTGTCCGCGTCAGTGCGCAAGGCTACTTGGCCATCTGTGTTCACCATCAACAAAGTGCGCAGCGCGTCGCAGTCGGTCATCGCACTGATGCCGCTACGCGCGCTCGCCGGGCTCGCCGTCCTGCGCTGGCCACGCGGGCGGATGTCTCGCCCATAGGGCGCGTGTGTATGTGGAGATTGAAGCCGCTGCGTGCTCATTCCGGTGGCCCTCTCCATGCGCCTCAACCACATATCATTGTCCGGCACCGCTGCAGGTGCAATCGTAGCAGGTGCCCCTGCGTTGTCGGCTGTTTCCGCTACCAGTTGCATAGGCGCACCACTAGCAGGCGTAGCGGCTGCTGTCGCCTGCACCGCATCGGCTGATGGAGCAGGTTCCCCCGCGGGTGTTGTCGCGGCAACTGCCGTGTTGTTCGTCATCATCGCCGCGATGAGGTGGAGCGCTTCGCGAAGGTCCCTGAGCTCGTTAGCCCCCTCGGAATATTTCTGCATGACGATTTGCTGCATCTTGATCTCCGGCGAGGGCATCATGAAATTCAGCTGTGATTAGACCAACGCCCCTGCAAATGGCGCAGGGAGCCTCAGTTGCAGCACCTTCCAAAATACCCGCCAGATGTCTCCACATGAGGGTGCGCCACTCGGTCCCAACACCGTGCATGGACTATGCGGCCGCGCTGAAGCCTCCTGACCTTGTCGTGATGGATGAAGCAGTCCAGGCATATGGCACATTTGTTAATGTTACCGTCGCTGATGACCGGTGGCGTTGCCGATGACCTGGTACGCGTCTGGCGCTCCAGGAGTGGTTTCACAAATCTCATGCTGGATCGGTGGCTGCATGGCTGCAAGCGCTGCCAGGTTGCATGCAGGTCCCCCTGCTGCGATTGGAGTAGCAAGTTGCCCCGCGCGACCCAGCATCCTGTTTGCCTGCCGCTCGCGGTTGCGACGCTGGCGGGCCAACTGCATTGAAAGGTTGGCCTGTTGCGCCTCGTGGATGGCCAGGATCTCTGGGCGAAACTCCCCCATGGATGACGGCGCTACCAGGCCGGGGGCCTGTTGCGTCACATCTGAATC